CAAAAATATTCATCAAAATTGGGGAATTGAAGATATCATCATACAAATGTACAAATTTGAAAGTGGTCCACATGTAGTACCTATATATGTAATATCAAAGCAATTGGACTTGCGGTTTTTAACAAGAAGTAAAAAATATCACTTTTAACAAAAAATGACAAAAATATTCACCAAAATTAGAGAATTAAAGATATCATTACAAAATGAACAAATCTGAGAGAGGTCCACATGTAGTACCTATATATGTAATATCAAAGCAATTGGACTTGCGGTTTTTAACAAGAAGTTGAAAATATCACTTTTTACCAAAAATGACAAAAATATTCACCAAAATTAGAGAATTGTAGATGTCATTACAAAATGAACAAATCTGAGAGAGATCCACATGTAGTACCTATGTATGTAATATCAAAGCAATTGGAATTACGGTTTTTAACAAGAAGTCGAAAATATCACTTTTTATCAAAAATGACAAAAATATTCACCAAAATTAGAGAATTAAAGATATCATTACAAAATGAACAAATCTGAGAGAGATCCACATGTAGTACCTATATATGTAATATCAAAGCAATAGGACGTGCGGTTTTTAACAAGAAGTCGAAAATATCACTTTTTACCAAAAATGACAAAAATATTCACCAAAATTAGAGAATTGAAGATATCATCATGAAATGAACAAATCTGAGAGAGGTCTACCCAAGGCACATATACACCGAGTATCAAAGCATTCAGGCTTGTAGTTTTCAAGAAGAAGTCAAAAATATAAAACATTGACACGGACGCCGGACGACGGACGACGGACGACGACGGACAATCACTCCTATGATAAGCTCCGCTCGACAAAGTCGACAGCGGAGGTAAAAAGTGAGCATTTGAAACTCAAAACTCAAAACGAGGCTTCTTGTAAAATAGGTTGCACTTTGACCCCCAGACGTTGACAATTGCGATATCAGCTGTCTGTGTTAACGTTGCATGTGTGGGTGTGTTGATCAGACGTGAGGATGTTCAAGGCACGTTCTGTTTTAGTTACTGGCAGTAACAGAGGCATTGGGCTTGAATTCGTAAAACAACTGATACAACTGCCCAATCCACCAGAACATGTGTTTGCGTGTTGTCGTTCCCCAGAGAATGCAGTGGTAAGTACTTATAAGTCCACAACACTCCAGCTTCTTTGATTTGAAAGAATCAGACCTTTGTCAACTATTGGAAAAAAGACATTAGTAAATACACAAAAATTGGCTCAGTAGTCCTAACAATCACTGTCATAACTAATGAAAGATGCATAGGTGATCTTACTAGTAAATACACATTGCTGGAGTCAGGATAGTAGTATTGTAGATTAGGCCAGACTTTTATTATCACTTGTTTCGCGAACCCGCCGAATGAACAGGAGCCGAAAATGAAATAAAAATATAATTTTATTTCAGCGTAATTTCTCGCGCCCGCCGACTTGTTAAGCGCAAAAAAAATGCTAAAAAATATTATTTTTATCTTCATTTTTTTACCGCCCGCCGCATAACAAGTCCAAGTTACATTTTCGTGGAAGTATCATGATTAAAGTACCAAAGTCTCACGCAGATGAGAAACAAGGTTATAAATGGAATAAAATTTTATTTCATTTCTTCTCTCCGATCAATGATCTCACTTACAATTCTTTGAGAATCACACAAATCTAATGGAAAAAAAGAATTAATTTTATTTTTTTTCTGCCCTCCTCCAAAAAATTGCCTTATAAAAACTCGTGAAACAAGGAATATAAAAAGTCTGGTCTTATACAATAGTGAGTAGAAATTTATTTTAAAATGTTTCTTTATTCTATGTACTTTGATTTTAACCTTGTCAGATCAAACATTCAAATCTCTGTCACTGATATGTTGCACACAGGTGCCCCAAAAGCTTTAAAACAGCAAAGATGCACATATTTGGAAGGAGAAATGAAAATATTTCTTTAATGAAGCACTACATCGCAAAGATATGTGTAATAACTAGCTTTAACTAATTTTGATAACTCCGAGCAGGCAGTTGAAATAACATTTCAAGAATCTGGATACAAATGAAACCCCATTCAACGACAACCTAAAAATAGAAACAGAAATTCAAACTGCAATCAGTGCTTTGAAGAGTAAAAGTCTCTTGGTGAAGATAGCATATAACAAATAGATAGAAATGTCCTGATAAAGCCTCTACAAAAACTGTTTAACCATATCCTCAATAGTGGTCTCTTAGTGCCTGGAATATGGGAATCACCCAGTATGTTGTGCATCCACCATAGTATATAGTGCATTCACCATAGTATATTGTGCATACACCATAGTATATAGTGCATTCACCATAGCATATAGTACATTCACCATAATATGTTGTGCATTCACCATAATATGTTGTGCATTCACCATAGTATATAGTGCATTCACCATAGCATATAGTACATTCACCATAATATGTTGTGCATTCACCATAGTATATAGTGCATTAACCACATTATGTCAACACAGGTGGCGCTATTCAGCACAGACCTGTGTCTTATGACGCATAACTAGCCTCTGAAGGCTAAATATCCACCCGCTACCATTTTTCTCAGCGTTTCTGCCGCGGAACTATATAAAAGTATTTGTTTTGAACACATCCTCCCCCGATTTTAGCAAGATTTAATCTTTAATGAGTTGATCAATTAAAATAACACACAACACTCATCAGAATATCTTATTTTATTAACATTAAAATGCATGTAAATTGGGAGGTCAAAGGTCTAATTTTTCTCAATATCCTCGGGGGGGGGGGGACATCCGGGCATTTTCACCGCCTGGCAACCCGCGGCGGTGAAAACAAAGGCCCAAAACTCGCATAAAACGGTACTTTGGGATGACATATGTACCGGTATATCAAAATGGCTACTAACCACATTACACACAAAGGACTGTCAACGTGCAGTTTTTGAGTTACTTTGTAGTTCACAACTCCTTGATAAAGGTCTGCTTGACTCATTTTGGTGCAATTCTTTCAACCTGATCATTCAAAATGACTTGTTCAAATATATGAGGGAGCACGAATCAAAATAATTATAAAGGTTTTTATGCATTTTTCCAACAGGAATTAAAGAACCTTGTCAGTGAAAATCCATCATTGAAAGTAATTAAACTCGGTACGTACTACCTACAAGTACTAAGTTGCTGTGGATCACAATCACAATTTTTGTTTATAGTGTTAGAGATGAGTTGAGCTTCATTTTTGTTACAGTTTTCTTAAATTACACTGCCATGTTTATCATTATACTGTGTTGTTTATGTCCTATGTTACACAGTTGCAGTAATAGTAAACTAACCATGTAGAGGTTACTGTAAACCTACACCGATTGGGAATGATGCCTCCGCATAACACCAAAATAAATATATAGTAATTTAAAATATTGTATGTCTTAGCCATAAATAACTATGTATGTTTTAAATCAAATGTAATATTAGTTTATCATAAATTAAATAAACCATGTAGAATTATAGGTATGCTCAAAATATTGCATGCCTGCAATCAAAAAAAAAAGGGAATTGCATGTCTTTTTGGCACATCAATAAGATGTATGAGGTGCAAACTATTTATATGATATAAGTACACTAATGGATATAAAATATTGAATAAATAGGTTAGCACAGCCAGGAAACTGACTGACCTTGGTTTCTGATGATTGCAGACAATCAAATACTATGGTCAACCACATGGTACCGGTACCGTACTGTTTATTCTTGAGGGGGGGGGGGCATTTTCACCGCCTGGCAACCATCACAGTGAAAACTCTCAGAAAACTGTACTTTGGGATAATTGTTGAGATTCCCATAAATAGGGTAACAAAATTATCTCTACATGTACAACATGTGTAAATGTAGTTGCTCAGAATTACTTCAACGTTAGGTTTGTGCTGTTTACTTGACTTTAGCTGTTTTCACAGACTTTTTGACTGGCGTTCCATAGCAGCTCATGCAGGGCCCATAGAAATACATGGTACAGTGGTAGTAACATAAAACGTTATGCGACATAAGCTCCGCTCCCGCGAATATCTTGAACTACAACCATTGTTGACCATTGTGAAGCTATAAATAACACAAAAATTTAGATAAGATAATAAAAATACTATAATGATATTACCATGGTTTATAACGGTTATAAACGACAAGAATTGACATTGATATATACACAATGAAATCAATACAGATATTGCATTTTCACAATTCCATACCTGTAGAATTAGAAGATTATACAAGTATTGAAGAAGCAGGAAAGCAAGTTGAACAAGTGGTCGGTGAGAATGGACTCAATGTACTAATCAACAATGCTGGATATTTTGGTGTCAGTGAAATGAATGAGAAATTAGAAGATGTCACTCCAGAGTCGCTGACTAAGCACTTTAATATTAATGCAATTGGACCTCTCATGGTCACCAAGGTAATTGTGAATTTAAAAATGAACAATTCAAATTTATGGGCTGGGTGGTGGTAAATTGTTAATCCTTAATTCTTCCACACATTACATATTGCCTCGAAATCTGGGGTATTACATATGCAACTCTACTTCAACCAATTATATCTCTTACAGAAAAAAATAATACTCCTCATCACTTTCTCTGCTTTGTATTGCCATGCTGCTCCTCTTTTCCAAAATCTAAGAATACTAGATATTTTTACACTTTGCAAGTTACAAACCTGTTTATTTGTCTTTGATCTCAGTAACAAATATTTTGTACATGATATTTACAACTATTTGGACCCATTGTCCCATAATTATCAAACCTGCTTAGCATGTAGCTTGAATTATTATACTCCAAAACTGAATCTTGCACTCAACCAACACAGTCTAAAATATTCTGCAACAAAACATTGGAACTCATTGCCTGATGCATTTAAAACCATCACAAAGAGACACGTATTTAAAGCAAAATTAAAAAACTATCTCTTCAATATTTGATTTGTAATTATTTTCTTTCATTCTTCATTTGAAGATTTGTGTGATTAAACTATGAAATTATATATACAGGGTTACAGACCCGACTGGTTCTGATGAACTATATCTGTAATCCCCACCAAAAAAAGGAAAGTACTCTAAGTAGAATTCGTTATTTATTTATTTATATACAAAACGTATATATATTTAATATCTGTAGAATTTCTACCTGTAATATTGTTTTCTTTTTGGTGAATTAAATTTCAATCATTCATTCATACGATGCATAGTATGCTCTAAAATCAACATCAAAATCAAAGAAAACTTAGAAAGAACTCCCATGTGCTGAAGGTATTTACTATATTAGAAGACATTTTCAATATACAAAGAAAAAATTGTGTTTATTGCATGCAAAATTATTGTAATATGTCTTATTTTAACTATGTACCACGTTTCAATAAAATCTGCTGAATAGTACATGAGAAACAAATGAAATTGGCTAATTAATATGTAAATTAGATAATTAATATGCACAAATTTCAACCAAAGACTAATCAATTCTGCACATTATCTCAGAGCATCTATGTATCAAGTTTCATTAAAATACACACCTTCACGTCGTACCATCGTTGTGACGACACACATTGAATTGACTTTTAATATAGTTGAATTAACTTTTAATATAGTTGTGATATAAAATCGATTAAAACGTGTTCCTATATAGGGTTGCGTTTTAATTGAAGTTTAATTAAACTCAATTACAATGCAATTCAATGAAGAATTGCGTTTAATTAAGTTTAATTAAATAAAAGTTGAATATCCCAAGACTGAACAAAGAAATGTTTGCAAAGTTTAGGTTTAGTACAGGGGGTAGGTATGGTACAATTATATTAATATTTATATAAATTGAACCATACTTCCCCCTTCACTAAACCTAAGCTACGCAGACTTGGCTTAAATTCAATTAAATGTTAATATAAATTATGAGAATAGTGAGGGTCGTCACAATGTAGGTTTATATGTTCCAAATATGCCATGTATATTACAAATTGATCACTTACCATGATCTTATCTCATTCTAGAGACTGTTGCCACTGATTCGTTGTGCAGCTCAGCAGGGTGTGGGTGATGAGATGAGTGCATCACGTGCTGCCATCATTAATATCACTACCAAGTGTGCCTCTATAGCTGACAATGGAAGTGCTAGAATGTACGGATACAGAACTTCAAAGGTAAAACATCCAAATCAACACTTCATGCATGCGCCCACAACATAATACCAATTTGTTTAATTCTTTACTAAATATACTAGCTATTTAATAAGTAACACATTTAATTATTACAATATATATGTATCTAATATTTTATTGTTGTAACAGTGTTACAACAAATTTATCTCGCTCGTGAGTTCAAGAAATGATGTCAATTTAAACCATTTAGCTACTTTTGTTTATTTTGCCATGAAAAGCAGAACTTGAATGATTTTTATTGTTACCATTGTTAAGTGAAATTGTATTTGCTCTTTGGGCCAATGGCCTTTTGCTTTGCAATAAACATTGACAACATGTCAGTATTGTACCTATTTTCAAAAGTGGCCATTCAAAGTCGCTGGTGATCACTTTCTGCATATGAATAGAAGTGTGGCTGTTTCAATCTGCATAAAGAAAGTTGTAGTAAAACAATGGGTCACATTGTTACCAAAATACCAAAATTGGTATAATTTGTAATATGTTTTAGTTGTGTTTGCGCAATGGAACAATGAATGAATTATAACCATATATATTTTTTCCTGTATTCCTCAGATTGCTTTAAATATGATTAATAAAAATTTGGCAGTTGAACTGAAACCAGACAACATATTGTGTGTACTGATGCATCCTGGCTGGATGAAAACTGACATGACTGGTCCAAATGCATTGATAACTACTGAAGAAAGTGTACGACCAATGCTGGATGTCATAGGGTCACGACGACGCGAACACAATGGATTATTATTTGATTACAAAGGAAATCTGATTCCTTGGTGAATATGTACACAATAGTATTGTGTTTTTTTAATCTAGAATATATTTGATTTGTATAACATTTGTGTAGCTAAAATTACCTTGTTGTAAAAATAATTTTTGCAAAAAGAATGACAAATTTACTGGTATCATCAAGAATAAAGCCTGTGTGCGAGCATCAAATTGGATATATTATTTTGTATTCAGCTCGAAAGTTCAACATTAGCAGCATGTAACATTATAATTTGTTTTATTTGCATGATTGAATGAAATAGTAATTAGAAGCTTATCAAAGGTACAATACTGTATCAACTATGGCTGTATTCTACATTAAAATTTTGCATATGGTTAAACATTTGAGTATGGTAATTTTCAAGAAGTTATAGTTTCAAATTTTGAATAAGCTACTTTCTATAATCCAATAGTTCCAAAATGTTGGAATGTATTATATTATCACATGCAAGTCTGTTTGTAATAGTGAAAGCCACAGTTATCAGCAGTTAAAAGATTGACAGTCTCACAACCACCACAATCTCACCACTGCTGGCGTACATTAAGTACTGCATTAAATTATTTTTTTGGTTGATTATGTTTAACGTATAATCGGCACATAACACATTAAACTAAATATATGTACATGTTTTATTTAGATGCTGTAACATTGGTTTAAATTATCCATGCTCGTATGGACAATACTGTGCAAATATATTTATAAATACATGTACCAGGTTCATTGTTATATTAGTACAACCTAAGTGGCGTAAATAACAAGTCATTTGAAGATGACACAGCCCCCATTTGTCAGATGTGACTATAGTTGGCTATGAATTATAAAGTTTGAATGTACCTGTATATGTATAAAATCGGATAGGAAGATTAAGTTGAAAATCAAAAGTATGTTACTCAAAATTAACAGCTAGGACATCTCTATTAAATTTGGTAAAATTTGCATCAATTTTAACAAAAAATCACAATCAATTGAATATGGAAATTCAATTGAGTCAATATTAAATAGCAAATACATGAACTATTAGTTCATAAGATATTAAAAGAATAGCTGCCACTAGTCTGCTATATTGATTAAAAAACGATGTGTATATACACCAGTGGTCTCTGCCAATCTATAAAGTTTGAAGTGCACTCATCTTGGAGAAATGATAATAGACATGCCTAAAGGCTGGACTTTGCTGGGTTTGGACTGTTTTGTCAGGTATGAGTGCAGTAGCCGAAAAGAACTGTTTATTCTTGGCAGGACTACCATAACTGCCAGTAAAATAACCAAGCCCTTGGCACAACATGCTTCTATTAATTTTACACCAAGGTTCATATGCTTGAGGTCAAATAAAATCCCTACTTTCCAGGCGTATATCGGTTACAGGATATTAACAAAGATTAAAATCGACAGATAAAGTAAGTCTATACCAAGTTTGGCCTCATTCGGACAATTAGTTCACAAGATATTAAGAAAAATTCAAAATTAATTAAATATTCAAATTAGCTCATTAATTAAGTTGAAAGCCAATATTGCATAGCACACATCTTATGTTGACAGATCAAGTAAGTCTATACCAACTTTGGTCTCATTTGGATTATTAGTTCACAAGATATCAACAAAAATTCTAAATTCATTAAATATGCAAATGAGCTCGTTAATTAAATTGAAAATCAATATTACATAGCATATATCTTATATTGACAAACCAAGTTCGGTCTGATTTGGACTATTAGTTCACAAGATATTAACAAGAATTCAAATTAATAATAAAATATGCAAATGAGCTCATTAATTAATTCCTTGAAAAAATTAATCAATGTGCATCTGTACCAGTGGTCACTCTGTCTTTGTACCAAGTCTTAGCAAAATCGGTCCAGGCATCTCCAAGAAATGATGATGGACACACTCAAAAAACTGGATTTTACAGGATTTTGACATTCAAAATGGCCGCAAGGCAGCCATATTTGATCAAATCAGGAAATAAATCCATGTGAATATGTATACCTCCTCACTGTGTCTTTGTACCTGGTATCATTGAAATCAGTCAAGGCATCTCTTAGAAATATCAATGGACAGACAAAACCCATGATCAGCAATCAAAATGGCTGCCAGTCGGCCATATTTTATTATTTCAAAAAAGTAAAACAACGTGCATCTGTATGGGTGATCCCTTTGCCTTTGTAAAAAGTCTCAACAAAATCGGTCAAGCCATCTCCGAGAAATGACGATGGACACACAAGGACCGAATTTGACTGAATTTTGACTGAATAAATTGACGTGCACATGTATGGTTGACCAT